GGAAAAGTAAGACAAGAGGGGTATCAAAAATGAATGATTCAGCCTCTTCACAGGTGTCTGTTTATTATCTTCTGTCTGTGGATGCTTGATTTGCGTCATCCCTTGGATTGGTTGTTAATCATTTATGATAAGATATTCCTGCTGTAACTTGTTAAATTAAATGCCTGATGAAGGATGTTGCACCAAAACATCAAATACCAAAATTAAGTTTTGACAGCGTGCTGCAGTTTTGCTATTTTTTTAAACTCAAAATGAGAAGAGTAGCACACAAGTTTACAAATAGATTGCCCTGAATAGGATCATTAAATAATAAGCGGTGTGAAGCTGTTGAGGCACCAGTATCCTCAATCAGAACCGCTTCTCAGACGATCGATCCGGAGCAGCTTCGGTGTCTTGCTCAAGGACAATTTGAAAAGCAGTTAGGATTTCTGAACCATTGTTTTCATCCATGTTACTTTCACCCACTTACAGTCAGATTAGGGTCACCAAATGTTCACATTAACTTCACCTGACGGTGTTGCCTTAATCAGTTATACTGAGCAGCTGGATACTAAGTTGCTAATGTATGTGTGTGTGTGTGTGTGTGTGTGTGTGTGTGTGTGTGTGTGTGTAATGACTGTCCTTTCTGACCCTGATGGCTGCTCCTCTGCAGGATAGCTACTCTCTGGAGAGAAGAAAATCTATCAGTCTCAATAGTCAGAGAGCTGCACAGAGGGACACGGAGGTGCTCCACAATAATTCACAGCCATCAACCCTCATCACAGTGAGGGGGCAGAGGGTTCAGGACGGCGGCAGCCGGAGGGCAGAGAAATGGACACAGAATCAGGATGCAACACTTTCCATCCAATCCTCTCTCCTCTCTACTGTTTCCTCCGTTGTTTTCTCCTCAGATCAAAAGCCCCTTCAGGGCGTCTCCAGCTAGCAGCAGACCAGCACACATACAGACACACACACTGAAAACTTGATCTAATATCCAAAACAAAGACGGTATGTTTTTTTCTTTCTCCCTCTCACAACCACAACACATCTTCAGCCCGAGTACACACATTGTGTCCTCTGGTCCTTTGTTATATCTGCATCTCTTCTCGGCCACAGCTTCCAGGGAAGAAGTTATAATGACAGAGACGTTGTAGTTCAGAGAGGAAACACAACACACCTTTAATAATACACACGCAAACGAATACACCCACTTCAACACAAGCATATAGATATACACGTCCACAAATCCCAGTTTTAATAACACTGTTGACGGTTCAGGATACAGTAGAGCATACAAAGTACAAAACAGTAAATACTCCATACATAAAACATGCACGCCGATGAACACACACACACACACATTTCTCAGTGTTTGCTCGCACACATGGCCTCCGGTCAACACACAGATGCTCTCACTGCAACCACACAGTAGAGAGAGCAGCAGAAGAATCACAAGAAACATCTCACTCGATCCAACCAATCTGGGATTAAGCAGGAGTCAGTCCAGCCAATCCGATGTCTCATCTTATTATGTCTGCCTCAGCCTCAGGTCAAAGTCTCTCTCTCTCTCTCTCTCTCTCTCTCTCTCTCTCTCTCTCTCTCT